TTTTTTGTGTTTTTAAGTCTAAGGTGTGTCTCTTGTAGGCAGCATATAGACAGATCATACTTTTTTATCCAATCTGCCACTCTGTCTCTTTATTACTGCATTTAATCCGTTTATATTCAGCATAATTATTCACAGGTATGAGTTTAGTGCTGTCATTTTTATGTCTTGTTTTGTGTGTTGTTCAGTTTCTTTGTTCCCCTTAATTTTCTGTACTGAGTCGTTTTTCTTTATGTATTTTCTTTTCATGTTTTTCACTGTCGTTAATTTTGTGTTTGCTGAGTCTTTATATTTTTCTAGTTTTTAATTTTGATTTGTAGGATTGTTAGTTTCCTTTGTGGTTATCTTAATATTTACCCCCGTTTTTCTAAGTTTATACCAGTCTTTAGTTTCTTTATATTGCCTTGGCTTCCCTTCCATATGAAAAATCTATGTCTACATGTTTTAAATCCCCTTTTTTTGTTTTAATGTTGTCATTTTTTACATATTGATATCTGTTTCCCTATTTTCAATGTTTTAATTTTGATGTATTTTTGTGACTTCTCTATCTGAGTCAGTATCTGGTTACTCTGTCCTGTGTTCTACTCTTGCGTTGTTATCTGATTTTATTGATTTTCTAACCGGAGGACTCCCTTTAGTATTTCTCGTAATTTTGGTGTGGTTTTTGCAAATTCCCTTAACTTCCGATTATCTGGAAATGCCCTAATTTTGCCATCATATTTAAGAGACAGTTTTGCTGGATATAGAATTCTTGGCTGACAATTTTTTTCCTTCAAAGCTTTATATGTCATCCCATTGCCTTCTTGCCTGCATGGTTTCTGCTGAGTAGTCCGAGCTTATTTTTATTAACTCTCCTTTGTAGATGACTTTTCTTTTATCCATAGGCCCTTTTAAAATTGTTTTATCTTTGGTTTTTGCAAGTTTGATTATAATCTGTCTTGGTGACTTTCTTTTGAGATCTACCTTATGTGGGGATCGATGAGCATCTTGGATAGATATTTCATCTTTCATGATATCAGGGAAGTTTTCTGTCAACAAATCTTCAACAATTCTCTCTGTATTTTCTGTTATCCCCTCCTGTTCTGGTACTCCAATCACTCATAGGTTATTTCTCTTGAAAGAGTCCCACATAACTCTTAGAGTTTCTTCGTCTTTTTAATTCTTTTATCTGATTTTTCCTCAAGTAAGTTGTTGTCAAGTGCTTTATCTTCAATGCAATTCTGACTTCTACGGCCTCAATTCTGCTCCTATGACTTTCTATTGAGTTGTACAATTCTGAAATTTTATTTTTAATCTTTTGGATTTTTGACTGCTGTCTCTCTATGCCTTCTTGCAGCATATTAGATTTGCCATTATGCTCTTGAATAAGTTTTTTAAGCTCCACTATTGCTTTTTCTGTGTGTTCTTTGGCTTTCTCTGCGTTTTGAGAAATCTCCTTTGTTATTTCTTGAAGAGTTCTGTATATTAACCTTTCGTAGTATGCCTCTGTTAATTCCAAGAAATTCTCTTCCTCCAGAGAATTTATTGATTCTTTATTCTGGGAGCTTGCTGAAGCCATCGTGGACTGCCTGTTTATGTGATCTGGTATTAAGTGTTGTCTCTGAGCCATCAATAAGTTATTATAATTTTATCTTATATTTGTTTAGTGTGTCCTAGCTTCTTGTTTTGTTGTTTTGAGATGCCCAAATAGGGTGCTTGTGTGTGCTAGTTTGATTATCGGTGCCTTTGAAGCTCTAACTTCCTGTCACCAGGTAGTTAGGTCTGTAACTAAGCATGTGCCCCCAGGAGTCTGTTAAATTTACCTGTATGGGTTCAGCTCAGGTGTCCAGGCAGTCGATCACCAAGTGTGTGGTGCAGGCTCTCATCTACAGTGTTAGAGAGGCATGGGTGATTGGCGTAGGCACCAGGTATCTGGCTGCAGTAGCGGGTCACGCGCTGAGCAAGGCAGGGGGCTGATGGCTGCCCCTGACTGTCTGAAAGAAAAGCGTGTCCCTGCTCCCTAGAGTGAGTAGGTAGGTGAGTTTTGCAGCCAGACTATGAATAACCTACTCCGTTGACTGTAAGGACTGGGGGCAGCACTTATTCTTGGACTCCTGTAGCAGGTGGCTAGTTGGCGTGGGTGGATCCACCAGTCCTCAAGCCCCTGATGTGGACAGGTAAGGTGCCTACTTAAAGGGCAGAGCAGTGTCAAGCATCACAAATCTGCCACTTCACAGCTAACCAGTTGAAGCTAGACTGTTGTACTGTGGTAGTGAGGGCTTACACTGTTGAGATGGGTCCACACAAATCTATACATGGATGGAAGGCGCTCAAAGTCTGTGGACCCCTTATGCCTGTGCCTAGGCAAAAGAGCTGTGCCAACCCTGAGTTCCTGACTTAGGGGAGTCAATAACTTATTTTTTCCCAGTTTGTTAATTTGTTCCCTCTCCAAGGCCAGGAGAATAGTCTAAGGCGCCTTATGGGATCTACTTCCAGGCCAGGGAACTCAGAGATCACTGAAGCCGGGAAGACCCGGTGCAGAGCGGGGAGGGAGAAAGTAAATGGGAGAGAGGTATTTCCCAAATGGGAAAGGCCACATGCATGTACTTATCTTTAGCCACTTGGGTGCTGCTTTTCACTGGTTCAGAGTGTCCAAGCAGAATCTCTGCTGCTGGATCTCTCTCAATGTTGAAACTGCCTCCCAAGCGAGTGAGCGGAGCTGTATGCCCACCTCTCTGTGCAACCCAAGCTGATGTGGGCTGTAGGGCTGCAGCTCCCGCCAGGTCAGGTCAGGCAACTCCTCGCTGCTTCTGAACCATCTCTCCTTCCCCACACCGCTCTGTCCGGTTCCTCAACTTTACCTTGTTCAGGGCTCCTAGATATTCATACACAATTAAATCACTTGTCTTTCCAGGTCTTTGTTGTAAGAAGGACATAAGAAGCCGTCTGAGTACTCCACCATCTTGGCCCTGCCTCCTCCTAAAGATACACTCTTACCCATCTCAATATTATGACTTCACTTTTCATAATCTTAGTAATCCCTAACACCTCCATCAACTAAACATCCGTTTTCCCTGATTTTCCTCCTGTGACACCAAGGGAAAAAAAAAAAATCACATAATTGTCCTGCCTGTTGCCCAGACAAATTATGTTTTTATCAGCTGGGCTCACTCTCAGCACTGTTCAGAAATTCTTTTAATCATTCTTGGTTGACTCTTTAAGCTATTCTATACAGCATCTGGGGTAGGCAGTCTTCAAAATCTCCTTCAGTGATACCCACCTCCTGGAATTCAGATCCTGCATAGTTGTCTGCCATGATGAATAGGGCTGGCCTATGTAACCAAAATGGATATTGCAGAAATGACAGGGTGTGACTTCCAAGGCTAGATCATAAAAGACATTGTGGCCTCTGCCTTGATCTCTCCTGAGCTGCTTGCTCTGGGGAAAGCTAGGCACCTGATGAAACTCAAGAAGCTTATGGAAAGGCTCCCAAGGGGAAAAACTGAGGCTTCTTGGCAATGACCACCATCAGCTGCGAGGCATGTGAGTGAGCACCCTGAAAGCGATCCTCCAGCCCTAGCTGGGCTTCAAATGATGTCAGCCCTGGCAGACATCTTGACGGCAACCTCATGAGAAACTCTGAGTCAGAACCACTGGTTAAGCTGCTTCTGAATTCCTGACCCATAGAAACTGTGAGATAATGTTTACTTTTGTTTTAAGGCTTTAAATTTTGGGATCATTTGTTATATACAACAGGACTATATGGCATCTTTTCTAAAAAGTTCATATTCCCCAAGCTCTTAAACACATTCAACTTACTTTCTGGAGATGATAATAATGACTATTTGCCATGTCCAGGCATTTATGCATTCAAGCACCATTAGGTGCTTAGTCCCTGCTAGTGGAAGAAATAAACCCACAAAAAATATAATCACAAAAATATATAGTTAAAATCAGTAAGTGTGCCATACAGAATAACAAGGGAATTTAATTTAGATTGATGAGTCAGAGAATGTCTCCTCCAGAAAGTGACATTTAAGACAAAAGTAGCAGAACAGTTTCACAGGCAGAGCTAAGAGTAAATCTGGGAGCATTAAGGTGGGAAAGAGTTTAGGATACTAAAGGAAACGAAACAAGGCCACTGTAGTAGCTACAGTGAGCCATGCGGTATTAGGTACATCACAAATATGATTTGTAATTCTTCCAATAATCCCATAAAGTAAAACTTTTATTTTATAACGAGGGCATCAAGACTCAGAGGTTCAGTAACCAGCCGAAGGTAACACACCAGTAAGTGGCCTCCCTGAGATCCAAATCCAGGACCAAAACCAAACCCATTGCTGTCGAGCTGATTCCAACTCATGGGAACACTTTATGTAGAAGAACTGCCCTACAGGTTTCCAAGGAGCGGCTGGTGGATTTGAACTGCCGACCTTTTGGTTAGCAGCCAAGCTCTTAACCACTGTGCCACCAAGGCTCCTAATCGAGGACTAGCTGGCACTAAAACCCATGCACATCATATCACATTGCCTCCCTTCTCTTCCTGCTGCTCTAAGAAAGCAGAAGTCATAGTTCAAGTTAACTTCCTTCTAACTCAAAATCTATTTTCATTTGCTCTTTTCAGCTTCCAAGTGACTTAGAAGAGTGGACTCCACACTTTTAAGCCTGCCAAAACATTCTCCTCCATCTAAGCACATTACTTCACTTTACCAGATCTCTAAAAGAGTGGAAGAATACCAACTATTCCTTCCCAACATTTGATCTCGCTAACCCCACTGGTTCTTTCCCTGCAGTCCTATTCTCAAAAATGTTTCCTACCACATTTTTTCTTCAGAATACCAACCAAACTCCTCTTTTTCACTATTTAACTTTTTTAATCTGTTTTGCAGCTCTACTTCTTCATTTATTCAACCTATTGCAGTTTTGCTTGTCTCTATAACAATGCTAAAACTGGTCTTTCACGGTCAACAATAATTTTCCAACTGTCAAATCCAAGAGCTAATGAAATTCTTAGCTGCATTTACCATTGATTGTTCCCTTCTTCAAACTCTATTATATTTCTTTAACAGGACACTATGGTGGTTCTCCTGTATCTCTGATCACATCTTCTCAGTGTACTTTGTTGGATCGTCTTCCTAGATCTCAAGTCACTGCAACCCACAAGATATTGGGTGTTAATAGATTATGAAGTAATGCTTATAATTCTTACCGTATGGCAAAGTTTAACGGCATTATATGGAAAACATTATACCAATTAGCAAAAGCTGAATTCTTTTTCAGTTCCATCTCTAAACAGAAATTGCTTTTTTCGCTACAAAGAGATTTAATTAACCTCTTCTCCTCTCCTCTAAGACGAAGACCCTGACAATAAAGCAAATGGAGCAGCAGCAAAGCCAAGCTAGCCAGAAAACCTGATCCCGATCTCTAAGGTGGTTTTTAAAAATCTTTGGAGCCACAGATACCTTTGCAAATCATACGAAAACAAAGACTTTCTTGTATTAGGGATATGTGCGTACATAAGCTCATACAAACGCAGGTTTGCAAATACCATATTTTCCCCTAAAGAATGCTCCCATGTAAATAACGCGCACAAACATACAACACTCGGAAATAATGAAATTAAGTAAAACAGTTCTGGCGTAGCACACCCGTATGTATACCACGCATATCTTGTGATATTTCCAGAAGCGAATTTCAGCCTCATTCATCTGTCGTTCTGTATTACAGGTGAATCATATCATTCAGTTCATTTTATTTCATTCTGTTCATTTTGTTTAATCTCCTGCTTAAGGATATAAAAATAGTTCAAAAATGTTACTTTTGATCATAAGTGTATTATGAAGTACAAGCTATGGTAAAGAAGTCATTGACTTGAGTTTGGTAGTCCCCCAGTAACTGGGAAACAAACTATGCATTCATTTCTATTAATTTAAGTTGATAATTATAGCACATTAGCTCAACAGTTAAATGTGAAAATCTTATCAGGTTGTCTTAAGTGAAACCATTAGGTTATGTTAGGCCTGCTTATTTCACAGTTTAATTATGTCTTCTTAGCATCAATTGAAATCAACAACATGTAAAAAAAAATTGACAGCGTGCTTATGAAAATAATGCATGCGGTGGTTGCGTGGTTGGCCAAAAAATGTATAATGCACACGTTACTTGAGAAAAAAACACTTTAAACTTGACAGGATTACCAGACTCAGATTAACAATCTCAGTCATAGAAATAATGTAAACAAATTGCTGGGGAGACCTGCAGTAATCTATAAACCAAAACCAAACCCTTTGCCATGACATCCATTCTGACTCATAGTGACCCTATAGGACAGAGCAGAATTGCTCCATAGGATTTCCGAGGCTGTAATCTTTAAGGAAGCAGACTGCCACATCTTTCTCCCACGGAGTGGCTGGTAGATTCAAACCGCCGACCTTTCAGTCAGCAGCTGAGGGCTTAACCACGGTGCTACCAGGGCTCCTTAATCTATAGCTATAGCCACAATTTTGTATAACATTAAAGGGGTTTCAAGACTTTACACTGAAAATCAATTGAAAAGATTCAGTTCTGTACTTTGAATAGGTGCATAAGCAAACAGTCCGCACCTAAATGCTAAAGCACCCAGAGATAAAAAGAACTCACTATGTATGCATAATGAATGTAAGCAGTTCTCATTACAGTGTAGCTTCTGTCATTTTTAACAAATCTTGATATCTCTTAGTTTAAGAAGTCTTCTAAGTATTCCTTTATAAAAACAATTGGATTGCTTAGAGAAATCAGATTTTACTGCTCAAGATTGGGAAGAATCACGCAGTATGCCTTGGATCACTGTCTTAAAATAAAACCTAATTTTTGTCTGGATGAAAAGACAATGGTACCATTTAAAAGAGAAAAACAGGAACTTTTAACCTTCTTATACTGTTTTCGAAACACTTATACTGACTACTCAGGCCTGGATAAAAGGAAGTTGGTCCATGCATTTGAGCTCTATTAATTAATAGTTCTATATCATTGTTTTTGAATAAATAACAGGTTTACCGTTCTTTGTCTTTGTTCAATGTGCATCAGGATACTACCCTCACCTTCCAGACTAAGATGGATTAGGAAGAATGGCCAGAGATCTACTTCTGAAAATCAGCCAGTGAAAACCCTATGGATCACAATGGTCCAGATCTGTAATTGATCATGGGAATGACGTAGAACTAGGTGGCATTTTATTCTGTTGTGCATGGGGTTGCTGTGAGTTGGGGGCTGACTCAAAGGCAGCTAACAACGTTCACCTTAACACCAAACCTATTAAATTTAAGAATCATGTTATGCAATCGCCTGCATAAAGAATGGCTTTTTTTTTTTTAAGTTGATTAGCAGTCAACTATGTCAACAATAAATACAGTTATAACAAAAACATTTGTAAGCCCCATCATCAGCCCAGGTCAAATTTAAAATCATTGTTCAAAAACATACAACGTGACTTCCGGCAAGATGGCGCTCTAGGCAGAAAGACCACGCCGTCCCTCCACAACAAAGATCCGAAAAACTAAGCCAAACAGAGAATCAACAATCCTGAAACCCTAGAACATCAAATGAAGAGAT